CACATATACACATTTATACCATTAAAGGTGCCTGAAATTGATGTCTGGGACTGTGCCCTGAAACAGCTCCTTCCGTCTCCCCCACTGCCCTCAACCCCAGGCTTCCCCACTATGTAAATGAAACCTGGACCTCTCGATACATTGATTCATTTCTTCTCACTTGATTTACCAGGTTGGCTTTATTTGATCTGTTTGATTTGATTTAGTTGGTTTCATTGGCATAAGAGTATACCTGGAGTTCCTGGAATTAAGGAGTCTTCTTTGAGGGAAAATTGTTTCTTGATCAGTGATATTAAGTACATTAATAAACCACAAATATGGAAGTAAATCGTGCTCAACTAGCCCCTGGAATTTGTATGAGGGACAAACACCCTCTACAGGCTTTTCCTGTTACCTGGCAGTGGTGATGGTAACCCTAGCTAAAATCAGAGCTGAAAGGCTCTGGAGGCCCCACATTCTCAGTGTCCCCACCCGTGTGATGACTCTGAACCTTTCTTTTTTTTTTTTTTTGGGTTGGGGGAGTAGAAAGGCACCTTTATTTCCTAGCACAAGGAAAGGAGACAGTTGGGGCTGCTGCCTCCAAGACTGCTGGCAGGCAGCTTGAGGAGGCGGGTTTTTACAGAGAGCAGACAAGGAATTGCAAATATTTCATGAATATTCAGGACGATCTTCACTCAGGCAGCCAGAGTTTGGGGATGACTAGGCATTTTCTTTTTTTTCTTTCAATTGTGCTTTAGATGAAGGTTTACAGAGCAAATAGTTTCTCATTAAACAGTCAGTACACATACTGTTTTATGAACCTTTCTTTAAAAACCAGTTGCCATCAACACTGTTCCGACTCACGGCCACCCCACGTGTGTCAGAGTAGAACGGTGCTCCGCAGAGTCTTTAATGACCGATTTTTTGGAAGTAAATCGCCAAAGGTTTCTTCTTGGGCACCTCTAGGTGCACTTCAATGCCAGCCTTTCAGTTAGCAGCTGAGTGCATCAACCAGGGTCTCCAACCCTCTCTTAGTTCAAACAATATTTTCATTTTGAATAGTTTTTGCTCTGATAATGGAAGGTTTTGTTTTTGGTTAAAATGTCAGCTGACAGAAGGGGCAGGTGAAATCATTGCTGTAGCAGGTGGGTAGACTGCTGCTCCCTGTCTAGCCCAGTGGAGCAGTTTCACTGCAGACCCTCTGAGGGCACTGCCCTGCCCTCTCCTCCCCTTGGTCTTCTGGATTCCCCCATCCCCTCTGCCTCACAAGTTCCCCTGCCTCTTCAGCCCCTACCATCTCCAGCTGCAGAATTGTCCCTTTTCAGTGCTTCTGCATCCCCCCCCTCCACCGCTTGATTTTAAATAATACACACCCATTTCCTAGCGTCTTACATTCTGCCTGCCTGATAGTAGTGCTTATCTCGATGATTTGGTTTTAAAACGTGTCATTCAAGCCCTTCTGTTCCATGGGAGGAGTCAGCCAAACACCTTTTTAATCCTCCTGGGTCCCTGCAGATGAAAAGCCAGACTGCAGACCTGCCCTTTGCGGACTGACAGCTTCTTCTGGCTTCTTGAAGGAAGATACTGGCTTGTCTTGTTCTGCAGTTCCTGGTTTCCTCTGGGTCTCAGAGGCGCTTAATCATTTGGGAGCTGGGCTCTGAGGGCTAATTTATTTGGCTGCCACTTTTTAATCTGTTTTGCCTTATTTTTCTTGGTCTCACTGGGGGAGTCGTCAGGAGCAAAGTGGCTTTTATTTGAACAGCGGTAGAAGTAGTTTATCTTCAAGGTCCCGAGTTGTAAACTATCTTACGGTGTCCCACTGTCATGTGGGCGTCATCCGTGTTCGTGTGTTTGTTTCTATCACTGCACAGCCTTCTCGTGATGTGTGGCGTTTGTTGCCGACTTTTGAGAAAGCAGCAAACACTTAACATCCTGTTCACATGCAGGCAATATTTTTGTAAAATTCCTGCTGTCCTCAGAGGGCGAATCATCATTTAAATGAAGGTGTACGCATAATGAAATATGCCAGTAGAAAAATTAACACGGGTTGTCTTTTGTTTTTCAAATGAAGTGGAAGGATAGTCTGTAAGGAGAAGCCTTGTTGCAAAAGGAGGACAGTTCTCTGGGTTTGGTCCACCCCGAAGGCGGTGTTGTATTGCTGTGTCTGTTGTTGGAATGCAGGGGAGTTTCTGGAGCTTTGGCCTTCCTCTGAAGAGGGGTTGCTTTAAGGCTTGCCTGCCGCCTGGAGACGGTGTGTTTACTGCCGAAATGGGGAGTGAGCGGTGAGAAACCTACAGCAACTGGACAGTGATTTTATGTCTGCTGAATCCCTTAATAAATTTAGGCTTGTATTGTATTTCTTGGAATTTATTATTCTTATGTTTTAAAAATACATTTTCCACAGATAGAAAATTTGAAGGAGAAAAAAACAAAGACAAAACCGATCCTCATTTCAGAGAGCTTGAGAAGCACCACCTCAGAGTTGGCCCCCCTGCTGTTATCTGATCCTTCAGTGCTGAGCCCCCAAGTCACTCCTGGTCTTAGTCACTTTTCCAGCAAACAGTTTCTGGTGTGTCATTTATTGTATACACGCAGGTTATTTGTCTGCCAGAAAAAGATCTTTGTTCTTCCAAACTGGGAAATAGTGGCATTGCCTTACTTCTTATAACATTTGGGAATTTTTATGAAACTTTTTCAGCTTTCTACTAAGACCTTGCTAAAGTAACTGATTTCCTTTGGTTTTGCCTGGGTGCTGATGTCTTTGTGATTGGCTTTCATGATCACAGATTTTTTGAAAAGACTCTAGATTGCCCAGCAAGTAACTTAACAGTCATCCTTTCTCTTCTGTGATTTAATGGCGTGTGTGTATGAGGGACTGTGACCTCACGGATGAATACATACTATGCCATTTTGGTTGTGTAGGCAGACACTGGTCATAAAGCAAGGGGATTAAGGTTAATATGAGAGGTAGGTTGATTCAAGGAAGAGTATTTACTAATTAAGAAAGGAAAGAAAGTATAAACATCTGGTAACACTGTGGCATTTATCCGTTTTTGCAGGGAGGGGAGTTGATGTTAAATTCACTGAAAATGCTAATTTTTACCAAGTAGAAATCTGTATGTGTGTCTTTTTTGATGTAATATTTTGTTCAATATTAGGATGTTATTTTAAAATAAATTATGATATTTTGGACATAAGCTGTGTGTTAGATACTATGCTTCCAATTTTACATACTCTTTACTCCCAATGATAATATTTTTGTGCTTTACAGATATAACTGATTTCTTCTTATTTTTTGCTGAATATTCAAAGCATCCTTGAGAGGGAGCTTGGTGTTATCAGTCCCGCACAGTGATTGATGCTAATTTGAGATTCTAGTCAGATTCTGAAGCCTTTTTCATGAGGTTGCGTCTTGCTTCTTTGTTCTTCCCCTACCTTCCAATACTATTTCTTCAGCAGCTGTCTGAGCAGGGCTTGATAGGTGGCTGGGAGCGGTACACAGGCAAGTTCTCACCCTCGAAAGTGCTTCCGGCTCCGTTATGAACCAAGCCCTGTACGGTTAAAGGGAGAGCTAGTAGGAGACATTTTATGTCAGGTTGGTTATGCAGAAGGTAAAATAGGTTCGTATATTTACTAGGATAGAGAAAGGAGAATTCACTGTTGGCTACAGTACTGGGAAAGAAGAAGCCTTTGCAAGATTCATTAGGATTCAGATAGGTAGAAAGGAACGTCTTACACATAAGATTTTGTAGATCAGAGGTGGCTAGTTATGAAAATCTAAGTTATGCTTTGTAGATACCAAGTGGGTAAGTTAGGTGGTTAATATCTGTGTAGGATTGTAATGGGGAAGGATTATGATGGAGAAGAGGCCAGAATGATAGTTTGAGGCCAGTTTTTCTGATCCCTAACTAAGGACTCCTGGACTGAATCCCTAACTAAGGACTTTTTTCATAGGCAGAAAAGACCTATTGCTGTGAGTTACTTCCTACTCATGGCACCTCCATGTGTTACAGAATAGAACGGCTCCATAGGGTTTTCTTGGCTGGAACATTTTCAGAAAGAGTCCCTGGGTGGTGCACATGGTTAAAGCTCAACCACTAGCTGCAAGATTGGTGGTTTGAACCCACCCAGAGGTGCCTTGGAAGACAGGCCTGGTGATCTGCTTCTGAAAGGTCACAGCCTTGAAGACCCTATGGAGTTAGTTGTACTCTGTACATATGGGGTCGCCATAAGTCCCGAGTGACTTGATAGCAACTAATAGCAATCTTTATGGAAGCAGTTCTCCAGGCCTTTCTTCCATGTAGCTACTGGGTGGGTTTGAACTGTCAACCTTTAGGTTAGCAGCCGATCACAATCTATTTTCACCTACCAGAGATCTTCTGTAGGTGGAGGGGAACCGATAATTTGAAGGGAGAATGTAGACTAGAGAGAGAGATTTTTTCTGTTACAAGCTTTAATTATTGTGGCAAACTTCTGTGGCTGAATTAGAGTCAGAAGAGATTAGAGGTGGAGAGAGAATACTTAATTTAGGATAGAAGCCTGGGACGGCGATGTGTTAGACAGGCGAAGGTGGACTGAGTGTCGGGATGGCCAGTGTGAAGGGATCGTGTGTGTAGTTGTGACAGTATTGGAATAAAGCATAGAAGACTGTATAAATGTGGCTGTATGATTTGAATTTTCTCTGTAATTACTGTGGGCTGAGTTCAAAGTACAAAAGTGTCTAATCAAGTATTGTCCAACATGGAAGTTTCTGAAATGCACAGGCCCCCGTTTAGTGTGTGCGCGTATATGTACTTCCACACGCATATGTCCGTGTTGGTGGGGCATGTTTCATATCAGAGCCCTCTGACCAGCTTTATTGCAGTCAGTGGTTTATGAGAGTGTGAGAGATCGAGAACTTTAATTAGAAAGGAGTAGTTGAAATAGGGTCTTCTTTCCCCTTTGTGTCCTGATTTTATTGCTGCACGTAAGATCCTCTGATCTCTGTTTAATCTATTTTTAATTTTCTTCTGTTTTTACAGGCCCAGGCTGCAAGCACAAAGGAAGTTTGCTCAATCTCAGCCCAATAGTCCCAGCACAACTCCAGTAAAGATAGTGGGGCCGTTGCTACCCCCTCCAGCTCCTCAAATTTCTGACCTCTCTAAAAGGAAGCCCAAGACAGAAGATTTCCTTACCTTTCTCTGCCTTCGAGGTAAGATGGTATCAGCAGTTAGTTTGCGAGGAACCGCCTTACTGAATGTGAAAGGAATAAAACCGTGCACACGGAATAGGTGTTTGCTTTGGTACATCTTCTAAATCCCCAGCCTGGTGTGAGAGAGAATTTACAGTGAGAAACGGCACTTTGAGGGTACGTTATCGTACCTTATCGGTGTGGTCTTTAAACCAGCTGTATGTTTGAGTTTCGTATTTTCTCCTCCCTTTCTCATATGACTCTTAAATCCCCCTTCTTGACTTCTCTCAACGCAGACATACAGAGATCCTGCTTTCCTCTTAGAGCTCGGCTTTGTTTTAATTTTTATAATTAAACTTCTCCCTCCTGACCCCTTCACATCTCCCTCCCATCCCTACAATACACACCCGCGTGGCTGCATCTAATTTCGTTTTAAATTTTGCATTTTGTTTTCTGATTTTCTTTTGGTAGGGAAGGTGTGGGTGGGTTGAAGTCTCCTTTCTTCGTAAGTCCTAAGGTCGGCCAGGAAGCCACACTGACGGAGGCTTCAGTGTTCTGCCGGGCTGGTGATAGCTAAAGAAAGACAGTACAGTGAAACCTGCGAAAGGCAGAACCTGGCAGAGATGGAAAACGCAAATATTTTCCAGTAATAGAGAGTGGTAGAAAAGTGGTTAGGAATGCATTCTGTCAAAGGCAGAAAACTTGCAAGACCAGGGAAAAAAAGGTAGTCCCACTGAGTTCCGGCACTTGTAGCTTTCACTGTAGTAATAGTTTCTAAGTATTGTTAACAGTGAAAATATTGGTCCATGTATGTGAACCAGACCGATTAACAGAAGGCAGGGTGTGCGTGGCACTTTCTGGTAATAGATACATTTGGATTTAAATGGACTTATTTGGGACAATGTTGATTAGAGTAAGTTTTGTAATAGTTGTGAGAGAAGAATACACAAAATTGACAAAGAGATTAGGAGCCTCCTTAGGGTATATGATAGAAGGAGAGGTAGAAAACAGGAAAGCTGGTTAGCAGTTACTTGGTGAGGTTAGTTGTGAGGGAGGAGAGGCTCTCGCTATTGGCCGTTTGTGAGGAGGGCTTGAGGATAATTATTGTAATTATTATTAATATCTTATTAATTTAAATGCTTATTATAAAATGTATTACTTAAACTAGTTACGAATTTTTAAAAATATGAAATAAGGTACAGGAGGGATAAGGTACAGAAAGTTTAAGGTGCAGTACAGTGAGCTTCCTTTTTCCTGGAGTATTTGAGAGTGCGTCTCCACCCTGACCTCCCATTACCCGTCAGTACATTACTGTGTAATCTCTTCAAATGAGGACATTCTCTCATAAGCATCAAAATTAGGAAGTTAATGTTGATGCCTTACTGTGATCTGATATTCAGATCCCCATTTCCAGTTGCTTCAAATGCCCCAGTCACGTCCCAGTTGAGGGTCATCGCTTCCTGTGCAGAATCAGCCATTGACGTTAATTGTCAGGTCTCTCTAGTACGGAGCAGTTCCTCTGTCTGCCTTTGTCTTTCGTGACCTGGGAGCTTTCGGAGATGACAGGTCACTTGTTTTGTAAAACATACCTCGGTGTGAGTTTGCGTTTCCTCACGAGTCGGTTCGGGTTTTTATTTTTGATGGCATCACAGCTGTGATATGTTGTTGTTCTCCTTGTGTTCTGTTGGGTGGCACACGATTTTATCCTGTCCCTTTACTGGTGATGTCACATCGGTCACTTGACTAAGGTGGATTTGTCAGGCTTCTCCACTCTAGAGTTACCTTTCCACCTTTGTATGAAGTGTTTGGTTGGAAGATACTTTGAAACTGTAAATATTCATTTTCTCATCAAGCTGGACTTACTTATTTTACATTTGTATGGACTCATTTCCTTTTTTATCCCAAAGGCTATATAATCTGTTACTGTCATTTATTTTGGTGCCTAGATTGTCCCATATTTTGTCCACGGAGCACTTCCGGCTGGCTTCTTTGTCCTTTTCACACATCCCCACGTTTCAGCCTTGCTTCCCGGCACATTCTGTGCTGGCCTTCTCAGACCTGGAATCAGCCATTTCTCCAAGGAGCCCTTGTTCTTTTAGTGAAAAGTGCTATTTAAAATCCAAGATCTGGGCACTAGGCGTGTCCGTTACTAGTAGAGTGACATTTTCCCCAGGCCCTGAGTGAACATGGCTAGGGTGTGTGTGTGTGTAGGGGTGTGTGTGTATGTATACATACATATACATGCTCATTTATTACATCTACATCTGTATCTCTATGTTTATTAAAATCCACGAGTTAAAACTGCTGCTTCAAATTCCAGTTTACCACCATAGGGTTCATCCTAGTCTTCTTCCTTTCCATGTTCCGCAGTGAGAAACCTGTCTTCTGTTATCCTTAATATACTGTATTTATTTGCTCAATCTCTTTCATCGTAAACCCACCTTTCATCTCTGTTGCCACCCCTTCCCCATGTGGGACCCTTCCTTCTAATCTCACTTGGCTCTGACACCCCTTAGTGGGCCGCGCATATGTGGTACCCCACTCACCCTTCTGGTGTTGACACCCCACAGGGCCCCCCGTGGCGGCACCATTTCCTCGCTCATTGCCTGCTGTGCTGTGCTCACCAGTGGACTCCAGGAATGAATTGTTAGGGACGGGAACACCCAAGGCCTGAAGGTTATGCTGACATTACAGGCTGTTGATAGTCCCTGGAGGTCTGTAAGGCATGCAGAAGGAGAATAATTGTATTTCAGATAGAAATTTTCTAGAAACTGTAGGTGGGATCCCCACCAGTTCATCTCTGTTAACTTGTACATAACTCCCACCGAAATACCGTAGTGATCCTGGGTTTCTAGTGTGAAAATGGAAAGGAAGATGACCAAAGATGGAATAATCTGGTATTGGATTAGTTCTGAAGGGTGAAGGGAAAAGGTAAGAATGGTTAACAGGCTGTGAAGCTGGTTGGGTGTGGTATAATGGACAAATGAATGAAAATGGGATGAAGCGCTCAGAAGAAAAAGCATATGAGCTAAAGGAGGCTTTGAAGGGTCAGCAGTGCCATCATCAAGAAGATGGGCTCAGGTCTGTGGTGGTGGGGAACTCTGATTTTCCAGCGTTGGTCATGCATGACTCTTAAGTGAATTTTAGCCAGATTTTGCTAAAAGGGTACCCATGACTCAACTAACGGGCACTTTTCTTTAGGAAAGGAGTTTTGTCTGGAATTACTGTGGGCAGTTTGCTTACTGTAAATCATGAAGTATAGTCTAGAAAATCCTGCCTCTAGAAAATCCACTGATCCTGTTCCATCAGGATGTCAGAAAATGCCTGTGTTGATTATGGAATTTGTTGGTGGAGTGGGTGTGCCTCTGTTTTAATTCCCAAAGGTAGGAGAGTAGAGAAGATAAAGAAGGTGTCAAAAACTGGGTGTCTGTGCCACTTGTCCCTATTACAGATTGGTTCTAAAATATATTTTCTGTGTTTCTGGGAGATTTGAATTGGGCCTTATTTCGAGAAGGGTATTTACTGCTCAGGTAAACTGCATCTAGGGAGAACATTACCAAGTACCCAGCTTTGAAGTTTCAAGACATTGGACGTGAGAGAGTCATGTCTCCATAGACACAATTTGCTTCTGTGAGGTGTCCAGTGGAACAGAGGTTTGAATGAGTGAAACCTAGGAGATACCCGGAGCCTTGGTGACGTAGTGGTTTAGAGATATGGCTGCTAACAAAAAGGTCACAGGCAGTTCGAATCCACCAGGCTGCTTCTTGGAAACCCTGTGGGGCAATTCTACTGTGTCCTGTAGGATGGGTATGAGTCGGAATTGACTCAGTGGCGATGGGTTTGGTTTTTGGTTTAGGAGATACTTAAAACAATTTTGGAAAAATGATGTCTGGGAAATTTATTCCTACATTCATGAGCAGGCAATAAAATAGGATTTGTTATTTGTTTTTATCTGACATCCAGTGAGTATTCCTCTCTCACTGTTCCTCCTGTCCGTTTGAGATCTGAGGTTTGTGAAATGAGAGTCATCTTTGACTTAGAAGAAATCATTTTCTCATGAGATCACTAAAAGCCTAAAATGTCAGATAATTCGTATGATATTATCATGTCCCTGGGAATATTTGATGGCCTTACAAAACTTATTTTAATATGTGGTGTGGTTGAGGTAATTAAAACTCATATTTCAAAGTGTAGAAGGGTGGTACTCAAATAATTTTCTTTCAGTTTTAAATTATGGAAAATAAGGTGTTAAAAATTTTTTATCATAGAAGTATTTTATGTCCTTCATGGAACTATCAGGAGAAAAGACGGGTAAGTGAGCAAAAAGAATAACCTGAAAATGCCCTCATTTGATCTCCCAGATAAAACCACTGTTAGCAGTTCCTTGTGTGAGTACCTCACTAAGCCTTCTGTGTAGATGTATAAGACAGCTTTCCGCCTGAAATGGTATTGCATTATACTTTTATTTCTGCACCCTGGTTTTCCTACTTAACAGTATCACGTAGATTGCTATCTGTCATGCCATCTTAATAGTTTTAACAGTGTCTTGCTTTGTTGATGTCTCATATTTTATTTATCTGATTCCTTATTTACATTTGGATATATTTCTGACTTTCTGGTATCAGCTGCAGATGCCGCGTATCCTCAGTTAAATCTTGCCTCATCTGAAGTCTTTTCAGGCCGAGTTGACAGTTGGGAATCCGATTACCCTTCTTATACCTGCATTCTAATTCTGTTTCTTCTTTTCTTTTTTTTTTGGTGCTGCTTCCAAACCTAAAGAGTTTGTCAGATCCCCAAACCTAATGTTCACCGCATAGAGCCCAGTCACTTCATCACCCTTGGGTGTCAGTGGGCGCTGTGCGGGTGAAGAAGACTGTCTTTAATAAGCTCATTATTTACCGGAAAGGAAGTCTGGCTGCAAAAATTACAAAGGAATCCAATCAAAGACCTGAAAGTGATGTTTGTGGCCAGGGTTTACAGGTCCCGATTATTACCTTTAATAGTCACAGCTCTAATTTGGA